GCTGTGCTGCTGTACATAAGACATCTGTAGATAACTGATTCAAAAACCTAAGGTGAAATAAAGGTTAGGTGAGGTCAAGGTTAGGTTAGGTAAAGGTTAGGTGAGGTAAAGGTTAGGTTAGGTAAAGGTTAGGTGAGAGAAAAGGCTAGGTGAGGGTAAGGTTAGGTTAGGTTAGGTTAGGTGAGGTAAGGTTAGGTGAGGTAAAGGTTAGGTGAGGTAAAGGTTAGGTTAGGTAAAGGTTAGGTGAGGTAAAGGTTAGGTGAGTTAGGTTAGGTGAGGGTAAAGGGTTAGGTGAGGTAAGGTTAGGTTAGGTAAGGTTGGGTGGGGTAAAGGTTAGGTGGGAGTAAAGGTTAGGTGAGGTAAAGGTTGGGTGAGGTAAAGGTTAGGTGAGGTAAAGGTTGGTGAGGTAAGGTTAGGTGAGTAAAGGTTAGGTGAGGTAAGGTTAAGTGAGGTAAGGTTAGGTGAGGTAAGGTTAGGTTAGGTTAGGTTAGGTGAGGGTAAAGGTTAAGTGAGGTAAAGGGTTAGGTGAGGTAAAAGGTTAGGTGGGGTAAAGGTTAGGTGAGGTAAAAGGCTAGGTGAGGTAAAGGTTAGGTTAGGTTAGGTTAGGTGAGGTGAAGGGTTGGTGAGGAGTAAGGTTGGGTGAGGTAAGGTTAGGTGAGTAAAGGTTAGGTGAGGAAAGGTTTGGTGAGTAAGGTTAGGTGAGGTAAAGGTTAGGTGAGGTAAAAGGTTAGGTGAGGTAAAGGTTAGGTTAGGTTAGGTTAGGTGAGGTAAAGGTTAGGTGAGGTAAAGGTTAGGTTAGGTTTAAAGGTTAGGTGAGGTGAAGGTTAAGTTGGTTGGGATGGGTGAGGTGAAGGTTAGGTGAGGTAAAGGTTGGGTGAGGTAAGGTTAGGTGAGGTAAAGGTTAGGTGAGGTAAAGGTTAGGTTAGGTTAGGTTAGGTGAGGTAAAGGTTAGGTGAGGTAAAGGTTAGGTTAGGTAAAGGTTAGGTTAGGTAAAGGTTAGGTGAGGTAAAGGTTAGGTAGGGTAAAGGTTAGGTGAGGTAAAGGTTAGGTTAGGTAAAGGTTAGGTGAGTTAAGGTTAGGTTAGGTATAGGTTAGGTTAGGTAAGGCTAGGTGGAGTAAAAGGTTAGGTGAGGTAAAGGTTAGGTGAGGTAAAGGTTAGGTGAGGTAAAGGTTAGGTGAGGTAAAGGTTAGGTGAGGGTAAGGTTAGGTTAGATAAAGGTTAGGTTAGGTAAAGGTTAGGTTAGGTAGGTTAGGTTAGGTGAGGTAAAGGTTAGGTTAGGAGTTAGTTGAATTGAAATTAAGGTTAGGTGAGTAAAGGTTAGGTTAGGTAAGGTTAGGTTGAGTAAAGGTTAGGTGAGGTAAAGGTTAGGTTAGGTTAGGTTAGGTGAGGTAAAGGTTAGGTGAGGTAAAGGTTAGGTTAGGTAAAGGTTAGGTGGTAAGGTTAGAGTTAGGTTAGGTTAAGTGAGGTAAAGGTTAGGTGAGGTAAAGGTTAGGTGAGGTAAAGGTTAGGTGAGGTAAAGGTTAGGTGAGGTAAAGGTAGGTGAGGTAAAGGGTTAGGTGAGGTAAAGGTTAGGTGAGGTAAAGGTTAGGTGAGGATAAAGGGTTTGGTGAGGTAAAGGTTAGTGAGGTAAGGGCTAGGTGAGGTAAAGGTTGGTGAGGTAAGGTTAGGTGAGGGTAAAAGGTTAGGTTAGGTTAGGTTAGGTGAGGTAAAGGTTAGGTTAGGTTAGGTTAGGTTGGGTGAGGTAAAGGTTAGGTTAGGTAAGGTTAGGTGGATAAAGGCTAGGTGAGGTAAAGGTTAGGTTAGGTTAGGTTAGGTGAGGTAAAGGTTAGGTGAGGTAAGGTTAGGTGAGGTAAAGGTTAGGTTAGGTAAGGTTAGGTGAGGTAAAGGTTAGGTTAGGTTAGGTTAGGTGAGGTGAAGGTTGGTGAGGTAAAGGTTAGGTTGAGTAAGGTTAGGTGAGGTAAAGGTTAGGTGAGGTAAGGTTAGGTGAGGTAAAGGTTAGGTGAGGTAAGGTTAGGTGAGTAGGTTGGTGAGATGGGTAGGTGAGGTAAAGGTTAGGTGAGGTAAAGGCTAGGTGAGGTAAGGTTAGGTTAGAGTTAGGTTTGGTGAGGTAAAGGTTAGGTGAGGTAAAGGTTAGGTGAGGTAAAGGTTAGGTTAGGTAAAGGTTAGGTGAGAGTAAGGTTAGGTTAGGTTAGGTTAGGTTAGGTAAAGGTTGGGTGGGGGTAAAGGTTAGGTTAGGTAAAGGTTAGGTGGAGTAAAGGTTAGGTGAGGTAAAGGTTAGGTGAGGTAAAAGGTTAGGTGAGGTAAAGGTTAGGTGAGGTAAGGTTGGTGAGGTAAAGGTTAGGTGAGGTAAAGGTTAGGTGAGGTAAAAGGTTGAGTGAGGTTAAAGGTTAGGTGGGTAAAGGTTAGGTTAGGTTAGGTTAGGTGAGTTAAAGTTAGGTGAGGTAAAGGTTAGGTGAGAATTAAAGGTTAGGTGGGGTAAGGTTGGGTGGGGAGTAAAAGGCTAGGTGAGATAAAGAGGCTGAGGTGAGATAAAGGTTAGGTGGGAGTAAAAGGTTAGGTGAGGGTAAGTTAGTTGAAATTAAAGGTTAGGTGAAATTAAAAGGTTAGGTGAGGTAAAGGTTAGGTGAGGTAAAAGGTTAGGTGAGGTAAAGGTTAGGTGAGTTGGTGAGTAAGGTTAGGAGGGTAAGGTTAGGTGAGGTAAAGGTTAGGTGAGGTAAGGTTAGGTGAGGTAAAGGTTAGGTGAAGGTTGGGTGAAATTAAGGTTAGGTGGTAAAAGGTTAGGTGGGTAAAGTTAGGTGAGGTAAAGGTTGGTGAGTAAAGGGTTAGGTAGTAAAGGTTAGGTGAGGTAAAGGTTAGGTTAGGTTTTGGATTGGTGAGTTAAAAGGTTAGGTGAGGTAAAGGTTAGGTGGGTAAGGTTAGTTGAGGTAAAGGTTAGTGAGTAAGGTTAGTTGAGGTAAAGGTTAGGTGTAGGTAAAGGTTATGGGTAAGTTAAAATTAAGGTTAGGAAGGTTAGGTGAGGAATTAAAGGTTGGTGAGGTAAAGTTTAGGTAGTAAAGGTTGGTTGGGTTAGGTTAGGTGGTAAGTTAGGTAAAGGTTGGTGAGGTAAAGGTTAGGTGAGGTAAGAGTTGGGTTAGGTTAGGTTGATGGTGAGGTAAAATTGGGGTTGGAAAAGGTTAGGTGAGGTAAAAGTTAGGTTAGGTGAGGTAAAGGTTAGGTGAAGATGAAAGGTTAGGTTGTAAAGGGTTAGGTGAGATTAAAGCTTGGTGGAAAGG